GTAGTGTTAATGTACTTTTGCCTCAAGCCACTACCTAATTCAGCAGGCTCGGAACTAGAAATATTGTCGGTCATTTCCACTCTGCAGACCACCACCTGGGCCCTGCCCAAGTTCAGCTTGCCTTCAATAATTCCGATGGGGTAGCGCATAATGGAGCCCGGGGACTTGATGTTTCTTTCCAGAATCCTTTCATGTAGCCTGTCGTTTCCGTGCCAACAGAGGATAGAAAGCTCAACAGACCAGGCCTCCGGAGATACAGCCACAGAAAAGTAACGACTGAGTACACTTGCATGAACTCTAAGAACACACGGTTAACTGTTCTAGGAAAAAGCATTACCAACTTTAAACTTCGACGGCGCAACCAATTCATTGTATATGCAAGGTGTGCAACAAGAGGAACACGAAAAATGTAGCACCGATGTCAAAGGAAATTTATTTCAACACAATGTTAATCAAATTTGAGGTTGAGAGACGATGATCTAACAGCGTGGTCTTGACATGAATAAAACGGATGAAGAAGAAATGGCGGTCACAAAAAATCGTGGTAGTCAATGTAGGGGCTGTATTCCATCCTGTTAACTGACCCAGATGTCAGCACGCATGGTTTATTACCTTAAAGACTACATTATCAGGCGCCTTATTGGACAAGACGTACCCTTTGTACAAAATGGCAGTGGATCGATGGGGTAACTTCAAAGGCCGTAGCATCCATCATCGTCATCCGACGGAATTTGACATTTCGGCAGCTCAGACAGCCGTCTATCGTAATGGCACCTGCAAACCTGAACGGCTACGTTCGTGTAACCCTTTACGTTGCTGCTCAGTTTTCGTAACAGGATTCAAAAGGGAAAGCAGAAAAATTGTCCAGGAATACAGAGCGACTGACGTCTTCATGAAGATGAACCAGACAATGGACATTATAAATAACAGAGGTGTTGCTAGCAACCGTTCGCCCATGCCTTCCTGTCTGGGGCAGAATTTCAGGTCCACGCGAATGGAAACACTATGAACAAGGCCAGCCGTTCTTTATTTCAACCTGCTATCATTCCAAGGGCTTCAGCTTTTGCTCCAGCATAGTCTCAATTACTGATGGACATTTGTAAAAATTCCACTTTTGGAGAGTGTTTCCACTGCTAGCTCGGTTTTACAGTATATTTCTGTTGACGTTGCCAATAAACTTAGAATAACTACAAAAAATACAAAAATTATATAACAACAGTGTTAATTCTAAAATTAAAGTAGCCAGATTTTCGGGACAAGTACATTCTAAGTAAAATAAAATGTTTTCTATAACATTGACTGTACGTGGAAACTGAAAAAAATTGGCATACGAAAATATACTTAACGCTGGGTTAATAGAAATTGGTAGCAATTATCCACTCTAACTGTCGAAAGTTTGCACCAAACACAACTCAGCTGATTTTACTAAATATGAAGGGTCTATTTTGAGCATTACTTCACTCATCTTAGGTTCCAAAAAGTTCATATTCCTGAAAATCACTGTAGGATATTCGTTGATATAGTATAAATACTTTGTCACAAGTATTTGATTATATTAGAACCGAATGATTTAAATGATTTTACTGGGCTGAAATTAAAGTGGTAAGGTCAACAACCGTTGGCTCAGTCTAGGCTAAACTGCTGGGGCGTATTATGGGTAGCTAACGTTACTTATTAAGTTAGTTTGGGATTGTAATTTTGTGGAATTTCAATTTTTCATTATGGGTCCGTAAAAACACACCTTCAACACTAAAGCCAGATATTTGCGTTTACTGGGTTTAATTTGTGTAACTTTCCAGTGGGTTGCAACGAGGAAGATTGTCAGACAATCTTCCTCGTAAACGGTTTCCATAATTGGGAAACGGAGAAAAGAACATAGTATCCTTTCTTGAAGAGATGTTAGTTCCTCTTCCAGACCCTTATATATCACTTGCAAATTGTACGTCTCCCCGTTTCCAGCGTGCAGCGTGCCATCTTCCCTCACACTGCAGTGTGAGGGAAGATTTCATAATGCGGCCTAAAAGTGACTATGGTTCTGCCTTCGATTTACGACGTAAAAGTAGACCATATATGTTTAACCCAATTGCTACTTCTTCATCTAAAATGAGGTCTTCCATACTTACCGCTTGGTGGCTTTGCTTCCGCAGTCCAACGCGGACAATTAGGGGCTACTTACAAGACATAGAATACACCCAAGTGTCTAAGGCTATATAGCCAACTGCGGTATAACTAGTTTCAATATTTCTTTAAGATTGCTGAGACAGCGGTGCGCAATATTGCCCACCGACGCGACCTATCCCATTCAGCACGTGCCTCGGCAATTCATAATTAACGAAGAGGTTGTCGGTGCATGTAAGGTTTATTTCGCTGAGGACATCATTTGTCAGCAAGGTAGATAGTCTCATGTTTTTACGTTCGCTGGAATAAAAGTCCAGTGAAGAGTCATATGACGAATCCGCATCACATTTATTCATTCGAAGAAGTTTTTTACTGGCATCGACGAGGTTTCCCTTATCGTCTAATTTTCTGCACATTTCCTCAACATCCTTTACACGTCGCTTTCTTGACTAAAACTTTAAACATAAATAGCCAAAGTACAATAGAATTCAATGGGTTAACAGAGCAGAGTACAGGTAGGCACATTCCAAGATACACACAATAATGGCAGCGTTGGGTCGCACGCAGTCAAAACGCGACTAAACAAAAGCAACTAACGCACAAGTCACATACCTTCTTTATCTCCACACATGTTATCGCGACAAGGCGCTTTTAGAATGCACCTGATTGTTATTAAATGCTACTAGGGTGGAAGTGTAATGTATTTCGCTTTTAAACCGTTTAGCGCACTTCTGGGATGAGGATATTGCAATTTTTAAGCTTTCCGGAAGCCTTTTTCGGAATCTGACAGTCAAGTATAAGTCATTTTATGCTTGATTGCGATCTGAAAATTGTCGTATTTTGACCATGAAAGCTCGTTAAACTACTTATTTGAGAGTCGAAAAATTCAAATGTATATCAACTGTGGATTTTGACGATGACAATTAAGCCAGCTACAATCGACAAATTCGTTTTTAATCGATGCACGTCAAAAGGTTCAAGGTTATGACATTTAAGCGCTTCTTTGTCCGGAAGGCTCTTATGTTGGAGTCGAAATTTCGGTTGTGCTGCAATAGTGTAAGTGCATTAATAGTGATCAAAAATTTGTAGCTAGACTCATAAGTCCTTAACTTATTACTTTGCAGAAAGGTCAGTGTCTTTTACATTGGCTACATCGAACTGCTCCCCAAGAGCTGCCAGTTCCATTCTGCCCACCGAAAGCCTCATATACCCATTTTTAGATGGTCAACTACCCTTTTCGGGATTCCGTGTGAAATATGTTCGTTTCCAAATATGCTCATTATTTTGGCTTGTAAAAACTTGTGACAGTCTTCTGCTGCAGTTTTAATCCAGTTTTGTTCCTTTCTTATACCTTTTAAGAAATTGTTCAGCCGCGAATGCTTGCTTACCATTTCAGTCGGTCGGCGGCGGACCCGAGCTAATTGACATGCCAGCCGCGAAGACCTCGAGGTCAACGGCGCTGTTGAGGCCAGTCCGCGCCACCTATACCCCGTATCTTCGCCCCTCTCTCTAGATAATGTTAGTAGCCTGAGCTGAATTCAGATGAAACGAAACTTCGGACGATTTTCGCTTCGGAGCGGCTTATTACGTGACTTCTAAGGGAGGACGCCCTTGATGGACTAACTCGAAACCAGGCTGTGTAGTTCATCGTTGTAGGCAGTAACGTGTAGATAAATTCAGAGAGTGGAACGTAAGCATCATCCGGGCAGTTAATGTCGGAGCTCACGGCTAGCGTCTCATATCCGTATGGAAAGACTGTCTTGACAAAAACCTCTTGCACTCACAACCTTGTCTTCAGATTGATTTTATTCGACTTTTGCTTGTTGTTCTCTTATCTAGACCAAAACCTGGGACACAGTACAGAAAAAGATCCACCATAGTTTGCGCAGGATATACTTCTTCAAACGAATATTTTTTGCGTTTACGGGTTAAAGGAATAAATTGGCAGCTGAGTTACATGAGTTGACCCAAATTGCATCCTCAAATTTTTACATACTGTTTCCGTTATGCAAACAATATTGGTCTTAGATCTACGGAAATCGGTCGTCACGACGACGAACATGAAAAAATCTGTCTGCTAATTACGTGTCATTCCCAAACATGTTGCAAAAACATCTAATCCGCTATTTGGAAAATTTCTGAATTTTTATCCAGGCTGGCCCAATCGAATTGGTACACTAATATCCAGTAGTCCTCTTACAGTTTTTTTATTCTGTGTAAAGTCGAAGGAACTGTTCACACTTGCTGATCGTGGAATACATTTGATGTGAACTTGCTTCATCCGAAGTTTGCATCTGTGCTCTGCAAAGTTATTCCCTCTAGTGAGTCGACATTTACTTTGCCACAGGTCCTCGCCCCCCGCTATGGATGCCCAATTCGTAACTTTCGATGCCTCGAAACTCTTCGCTGAAATGGTGTCAGATCACCTATTCGAAAGTTATCTGAACTTCCACAATGCCATGCAGAGTTTCACGAAGGTATTTT